TTTTTAAAAGCTAAGGTGCATCACTTAGTGGTCGTCAATACGTCAATAATTTTTAACAATTTATCCCATGTGCATGACTGAGTACTGTCAAGTATTTCTACACAGTCTTTGCATAAAAGCAATAATGTACAAAAACAGATTGTAAACAGCCTATAGCTGCACATCTACTGGAATGAAGGATATCACTACCACAGCTATGACTACATTAAAAAAAAAACTGTTTTTACACAGTTACTGTAAAATCGCACACATCCTGATTAAATCAACCAGATAAACAGCTAGATGATCAGATTAATTTCCAAATGACTGCATAATCAAAGATCTGATGTGTCATATGAGAATTGTACTTTTGCCCTGGGTAACATTAACTCTTCTTGCTCTTCTCATGTTGCCGTTATACCTGTTGGCCAAAGTAGAGGAGCGTTAGCAATTGTTTCAGTATAGCTAGTTTGCTGACTGATTGAACCTCCTGTAATATTTCCCCTTAATTCAGCCATCTGGATTAACAACATGGATTCCAGGAATAAAAAGGGATACATCAGGTCATATTTCTTGGTAAATGTGAGTAGCTATATATGTGGTAAAAGGCTGAGTAGGCTAACTTCTTACATCTGTCAGCAAATAACATTTTCCAGTAAGCACATGCTTGGTGAGTTAACTTATTGTCTAGTGTTATATTGTAGATTGGAAGTTCCCTTCATTTTCATAAGTTCTAAAGCAAATTAGAAGTTTTCTTCATTTCCATTTAGACATCAGAGAGAGACAGAAACAGGAAGAAAAAAGGCCAGACCAAGTTAAGAAACATAAGAAGAGTAAAGAGGTAAGAATTTGCACTGTGAGCTGTAATGTTACCTCAAATAGCACATCATTCTGATTTGAGCATTGTTCATTCACTCATTCTAAGTGCATGAACAGAGTGGCCTTTTAAAAAAAAGCTAAGTTGTATCTCTTAGGGCTCATCAATACAGGTATCACAGACAAGGCTGTACGCTTTTATTTTATTATCTATTATTCTGAGCACATCCTGTAATTGTTAAAAACAATTTATCCCATGTGCAAGACCAAACTGGACAAAATGTGGTTGTCAGTGACAGACTATTAAATAGTGGTTGGCAGAGAGTCATCAAATATGTTTTGTGGTTGCACTTACAGCAGTCACAGCCTATGTGGGAGGTCTAGGTTTGGGGGGATCAATATGCTTTCATAGGGCCCAAAATGTCTATGTAACTATGTAATGTGTGGAAGAATATTTTGTAATGTGGGTTGTACTTTGGCACCCCTCTTCCCTGAGCAGATGAATCTGATGATTGCGAGTGCATTGAAAGAGAATTCAAAGACAACTCTCGAGGAGATCTGTCTTCTGAGGATGTGAGTGAATTATTTACTATTATCATCAAATTTTTATTTTTGAATTTGAGACATAAACATGAAACTGGACCTTCTTTTGTGGTTCTGTGTGTGACATTAATATGTAAAGACTCTGACGTTTAAAATGATTATTTAATGGTGTACAGGGCGACTCACAGCAGGGTGACTCAGTAATGCAAAGAATCTTACATACGTACAGAGTGAGTTCTCTGTACAGAGTATGTTTCCTTACTTTCACTTAGAAAATCAACAACACATGTAAATTGTCCAGGACTGACTGATTTGAGATGCAAAACATTTCTCTATTTTGGAGCTCACATGCAATCCTGTGGAAGCAAGTTTGCACTCTGGAAGGTTTTCATGATTTTACTCACTTTGCATTTTTTTACTTGCCCCTTTGAATGAAAGGTGCATTGTAAATAAAATGCTTCATCACCATCATCAAGATATCTGTAGAGAGTCCAGAGAGCTTTAGAAAGTCCTGGTTAAATGAACAGGTGGAAGGAAAACCTGACAGGACCTTTACTTTCACTAAACTTCAAGCTAAACTTCACTACATAGTGAGATAGAATCCAAAAGGTTCTGTTTCCACTGTTGGAACTCAGAACCGAAATGGCAGAACTGAACAACAATTCATAACGATTCTCTTTGAGACACTGAAATACTAAATCATACAAATATTTCTAGACAAGTCTTTGCATGAAAGGCAATAAAATATAAGAAAACAGTGTAGTTGCACATCTACTCTAATGAAGAATATCACTGCTACAATTATGACTATGTTTTAAAAACTATACCCTAGTGTTACACAGTTACAGTAAAAGAGCACACATGCTGATTAAATGAACCAGATAAAGATCTAGATGATCAGATTAATATTCAAATGGCCACCTAATCAAAGAGCTGATGTGTCATATGAGGATTTCTGATTTGAAATGCAAATTACTCTAGCAGACTTTAATATACTCTGACCTCATCCCAGGAGGTGACAAAATCTTGGCTTTGTTTACAATTGGTCTACTTTTGAGGGCGAGCCTGGTCTGTTGAGTCGAGATGGTATCCACCCTTGGTGGAAGAATGCTGCTCTTGTTTCTTGTAGTATAGCATGTAGCCTTTCAGATAGCTGGCGGTGTAAGTTAGTCAGTTATCAAACTTTCAGAACTGATTTCATCTGTACACAGTTTCTTCCAACTAAGACCTGTAATGTGCTTTGCTACAAATGTTTCATGCAGTTCATGCCCACAGAGGCATGTGCTGATTTCGTGCCACACCAGTTGAGTGATATTATACATGAATAACAGTGTTCTTGTCCATTTCCAGAGTTTGGGCAGTCTGCGTTGTGCTTAACACAATTTTTCCCATATTTTAGAGTTTGCAGAATTGGGATGGCAACTACTGAATAAGCAGAGGCATATGTTACTATCCTATAGATCTACCCCTGGTTCAATCCCATGTTCTTGATTCCTTAAGGACGTGACAATCCTTGCATGACAGCCAATTATCTGCTGGCATCTCTTCACTCTCTTGCACTAAATAATGTTAGTGCATTCATGGTTGGTTACCACAGTAGGAACCCCTGCTTTCCAAAAAAACACCTCTTAATTACCAGACAGGACCAATTAGTATGTGCATAGAAGAGGTCATTGAACTGAGAACTAAAACACCTAATAAATATTCATGTACCTTTTCTATCACCTTTATTGGTTAAATGATGGTTTCAATAAAAATATAGCATTGTAAAATGAGTTTTTACAGTTTGTAATGTGGATATTGGTGTCTCCTAGGTTTAAATAATTGATTAAAAATTGATCTTTTGCAATAGAGAGATTTGATAAATGCATTAGATTGTGATAAATGTAAGGATAAGCACTAAATGGTATCTTTGTGGCTCATTGTCTCATAATAAGAATGCATGTCTGTACACAACTTGTTAAACTGCTCTACTGTATCGAAACCCACCACAACAGAAGCACAGTTTTTCATAAACTCATCCCCAAATTCCTCTAGTGCATACTCTGTTAACGTCTGGAGTAATCCATATTACAAGTAAAACATGCTATCGTCAGCTAACTGACCAGTTTTTCCTTTTCAAGAAATAACATTTTTATGACATGTACTGCATGTAATGTAACACACATCTACCCGATTAATTGGACTTTTTTGGGAGACTAACATGTCATCCATGGATTCTGATTTTATAAGCCACATGGCTTGTCTTTTGACAATTTTGACAAGTGCAACAAGCTCCTGATGTGTGAATTTGAGTGATGCTGTTATGAATCTCTCTGTTTGTTATTTGCCACTGCAAACCGTTAATAACCATGGGTTTTGGAAAAAGTTGTAAAAAGCTAATACCACACACATAGTTTTAACACCCTCTGTCAAATGTCTTGCTGATTTTCTCAGTGAAATAAATTTTAGTGCACAGGTTCTATTTATTTGCTGAGTTGAACATATTGGACAAAAAATATTATGTACAAACCACATTTCATGTTTTAATTTTTCCCCTTAATATGTTGAAGCTGCACTATGTAAGAGTGGGGGATTTGGAGACCTCTCTGGTGGAAGTGTGTAAATGTATGCAACATGTGGAAGAACCTTTTATAATGTTATGCTTTCATAATAGAGAGAAGGGAAAGTATGATTATTGTTTTAATCTGTGTTTCACAGTGCAGACATCTTTTCTAAAGCATCAGCAACACAACAGAAAAACATACAGACATTTTACATTTTTATTGTAATCATATAGCGAACACTTTCACAGACATCTTTTTACAGACAAATCTACCATGTTTTCAGTGAAATTATTATAAATCATAAGCATGTTATGGAACGAATTTCATTTCAGCATGAACTGAAGCTGTTTTTCAAACAAATCAATTCAGTTTACACAAAAATCACACATCAGCCTTTTCTACGGTGCTGTATTTTCAGTGCTGTCTCTGATCTTTGGTCAGTTAAAGCAGGATGGAGAACATGTTAGATTTTGTGTGTATTGTGAACCACTAGAATGTCTCTGAATAAAGTTGACAAACACAGTGTGCCATAGAGAGAGCTTACAGTTACAGTCTGTACTCTACAGTTCAGATGTTACAAGATGTTACCTGTTGAATCATCTCTCTGCTCTCTAGCTCATGGTGAAAGGACTAGAACAGAGTGCTCTGATTATAAATTCAGTGCTTCATTTTATAGATTACTTTCTGTATTTAGTCAGTAATGATTCCTCATATGAAGAAATAATCAAATAAATTTACCCAATTTCCAGTTACTCCTTACTGTGATCAAATGACCATAATATAATGGTATTAAAAGAACAAAGAAAATAAATCATAAAGTAACATTAGTTAGCTGAGCTTAAAACATCCTGAGTTCTAATAACTCTGGAAGGCACTTTGCAACAAGCAGTGTTACACTTAAATTGATTCAATGGAATATAGAAAATATAGATCAGTAACTAGATTATAAGATACATAAATGATAAATGAGAGAACATGTAACAAAGAACAGCACAGTGGTTACTTTGTTATTCAGACCAAATTAGTTTTGGTTTCATGTAACAGATATTTGACAATGTGCTGCTTTGCTACAATCATCAGAATCAGGAAAATTATTTCTCAAAATATCACAAATAACACACTCAACAATCAATTTCTTTGCCTGTCTTGAAGAACTAAAAAATCAAGTTACTCTCCATTGAGTAGATGGAATGTTGTGGGCTGCTGTGTAATTCAAACATATTACAGATGTTGTAATTTGTAAGTCACACCAAGTCTTTTCCATGATCTCAGATGTAAGAAGAGAACATAATGCTGCAGTTATAAACATTTTTCTGTCCACTCAAACTATCTCTACAAGAGAGCTCAGCTTCTTCCAAAATGTCAGTAACTTTCTTATAGAAGAGATTCACCTGTTAATAAACACACATAAAACAACACCCTTCAGATAAAATGGTACCACCTTTAGAGCAGAATAGAGAAAAGGGTTTAATGTAGATGGCTAATGATAATGATTCACACAATGGCCCTGATTTAGTGAAAAGACCCCTAGATTTTCAGTATGTCTCAGTTTTCTCATAAGCATTTTGGTCTTTTGGAGGGTGGAGCCTCTTGCTGATCCCCTGGAACCTTTCACACTTTGTGCCACAATTTGTCAATCTCCTCTTTGTGCAGTCCTTTGTAGAAGAGCATGACATTGATGAAATTAGGTTGGCCAGGCAGGGCGTACGAGATCTACAGAGACACAAAATTGAATTCTTTTAATTACAAAAAAGTTTAAGGTTAGAAATACATTGCATTGATTCTGTGATTATAAACAAATTCATGCTAATAAAATGCTAAATGTGTAGTATTCCATTTGTAAAATAATTACACCCACAATGATAAGGAAAGCAACACTCGGATACCAGTTTTAATCTAGAAGCTTGTCCTTGCACAGTGCTATTGTTTTTTCTTTCTTGTAGAAAATTAAATTGTTCTCTGTTATTCTGTAACTCAATGTGATAGGCTGTAATCATTTCAGTAGTAATTAGTGAAAATATAATTAGAGAAAATATATCAGTAAAAAAATCATTACTCCAAGTGAACTGACCTAGCCAAACACTTTCTAACGTTGTAATATTTCCTTTTTATTTTATGGTTTCCATGGGAAATGCACTTTTCTGTAAATATAAATATACACTGATCAGGCATAGCACTATGACCACCTCCTTGTTTCTACACTCATTGTCCATTTTATCAGCTCCACTTACTATATAGGTGCACTTTGTAGTTCTACAATTACAGACTGTAGTCCATCTGTTTCTCTGATACTTTGTTAGCCCCCTTTTACCCTGTTCTTCAGTGGTCAGGACCCCCATGGACCCTCACAGAGCAGGTACTATTTGGGTGGTGGATCATTCTCAGCACTGCAGTAACACTGACGTGGTGGTGGTGTGTTAGTGTGTGTTGCGCTGGTCTGAGTGTATAAATCATATACTTAAACCTAACTAGTTAGTTATCTGTATAAAAACTACAGTGTTGCAAAGCTGATCACACAGAAGTACTGAAATGTAGATGTTGTAGTTTCTATTCATGTGCATTTCTGACCTTGACATGGTGCTACACTGTAAGAAACTCAGACATTGTACTGTAATGGTCAAAACTGACTTCAGTTCAGTACAGCAGACCCAAAATCAACCACATATGTCACTGTACTTACCACTTTAAAGTCTGCTACATTTCGAGCAGGCTGCTTACCACCAGCTTTTTTCTGGACATTTTTCAACCAGGCCTTCAGCTTCTCCTGGTAACAAGAAGATCGTGAGAAAAAGGCATCATGGCACATAGTTTACTGTTTTGTAAGAGACATAAAACACACTGGATACAAACAAAGTAGATACAATGGAATTTCACAGACATTTCTACCAAAACAGAAATGGAATCTATTGATTAGGAAATCTTTTTTGGGGAAAATCTAAAGCAGTATCAAAACACGTAAACAATAGTTTACGTGGAACTGTTCTTCCACTGCCCTGTGACGGACTGGCGACCTGTCCAGGGTGTATCCTGCCTTCCGCCCAATGACAGTTGGGATAGGCTTGAGCACCCCACTGCGACCCAGAAGGATAAGCGGTTTAGATGATATATGTGTGTGTGTGTGTGTGTGTGTTCTTCCACTGAACACATAAATATGAAAAAGAATATAGAATGTGCCATGCTAATGATGCGCATGGCCTCCAGCAGGAGAGTTTTCCTCTGATGGAAATACAGCAGTGCTTTATTACAAGTATACTACTTGTAATTAGCAGCACCAGGTGTCTTCTGGCTTGTGAGCACAATGTGGGTTTGAGTGAACTATAAAGCCAAGTTTTTAAAACTAACTATCCAGTAACCAGCTGTTTATAGATCTAACTATATGAGCTGTCAGTTGTTTGTGCTAGGATGACTGCATTACTGAACTGAGGTAGAAAAACTCCATAGAAGATGACAATAGGTAGTCATACAATCACTGTCAAATGAAAGTATCTAACCTTCCACTGGTCATCACTTTGCAAGTGTTTCAGATGCTCAGCTTTGAATATTTTCTCTTCAAAGATAAAAAAACCCTGTTTTAGGAGTTCCTCAATTATTCCATGTGCTGCTGAGATTAGCAGGCATATGATTGCCAGAGGTTTGCCATCTGTAAAACAGAAAAAAGAGAGTAGTTTTTATTAAAATATGTAAGTTTGTCAATCTCAAGTAATACATGCAACATCAGAACAAGCCTGATTAATCTAGAGCTATCATTCAATGAGCAATAATATATAACTGTTTCCTTACATGTACCAGGGGTCCAGAAAATAGGTCTCTGCATAAAGTTAATTCATTATACTTTATTTATATGACTTCAAACTATGAGTGTGAGATCATTACAGTTGCTATTTATGTATGTCATTTAATGGATGCATTTTACAGAGTGCACTGTGTACAGTATATTCTGCTTGAAGGAGAGATAGAAGGAGAACCTATGAGGTCCACATAAGTGATGGTCTTCTTCTCTGAAGCAGAGAGTTTCCTGGAAACATGAAAGCACAGTGAAAAAAAATATTATATAACGATAAAGTTAGAATACAGATAAAATATAGTTTCAATACAGCATTAAAAAAACTGAAAGTAAATATTTGAAATGGCTTGTCAAAATCTAAACTGTATCGCCTTGTAAGCCCCATGTACTTTCGTAGAAACCACTGTCAGTGATCAAAACTGGGTACATAACAAAATGTTTTCAAATGTGCGCTACCACATCAAAATAAAATGTACAGCCTTGTTTTAGTCTCCAAAACATTCTTATTACTGGAATTATTGGATGAAACTCCAAATGTAGCTGTTTTTTTCTTCAAGTTTTAGTAAAAGGGAACTTTTATGTCATCATTGTTGTAATATATGGTGTCTAATCCAGAAGTTTGGAAAAGGTCTATGTAGTGTTTCAGTACAACTCTCTGTTTTCTTGTCATCATTTGAGAGAGGGGAGTCTCTTACAGATCCTTCAGCACTTCTTCCCAGAATTTTTCAGTATCCTCTTCGGGCAGTCCCTTGTACAAAAGAAGGACCTTAGTTGAGTCTGTTTTGTCAGGCAGGGAGTAATGGACCTATAGAGACACAAAACTGAGTTATGTCAGCTGCAAATCATCAACGAATTCTTGCATATTTACACAGGAAATTACATCCACAGTTCCGTTTACAAAATGAAATAATGGGTAACAGAAAACAAAGTTTTTGAATTCAGAACCTCCTCTTCGCACAGTGATACGACATACTGAAATAATGGCTTGTCTGTTCAACCTAAACAATTACTTCATATACATTCATAACAGTTTTTATTCAACTCAAATAAATACTTTGAATGAAATATTGCAAAGCAAAATTAGTAAGTTAGATGAACAAAACAAGTATTTCACATCTATTGAAACCTTGAAAACACTTCAGATCAACTCCTGCCCTGGGCCTCTATTCATCCGTCTTCTCAGATTAGAAGTGATCTAGGATCTGCTCCTCTCAGTAAAATCAGTCTAAATAAGAAAAAAAAAAATCTGATCATAGATCAGCACTCCTGCTCTACGGATCCTGTTCTGCTTTTTACAGTGCAGTAAAATATTTCTTCTAACTTGACCTGGCCAAGAATTGGACATTTTTGCCATTTGATTATCAGGTGAAATCCAGGTGTGTTATAAACATATAGCTGTACAATATAAAATATTGCCGTTGTTCATCTAACCTATATTTTCCTTTGCATTGTTTCATTTAAAGTATAATTTTTAGTTGAATAAAAGCACTTCAGTTGAGTGCTATTTTGGTAGAACTGACAAACCAGTAGTGTAAGCTACTAATACAGAAACTGCACTTTACTATTTGTGTGCATTTCTGTGATGTAGTAGTACACTATAAGAAAGTTATGCATCACGCTATAGTGGTCAAAACTGACTTCTGTCCAGTACAACAGACCAAAACTCAACCACAGCATGGTAAAAATGACGTCTTTTGCAGTGTAACAGTGTAACTCTATATTTTATTGCACTTACCACTTTAAAGTCATCTGCGGTGAATTTTGGCTGCTTACCACCAGGTTTTTGGACATCGTCCAACCAAGCCTCCACCTTCACCTGGTAGAGAAAAGATGGTACAGAAAGGGCATCATGGCACGTTGTTCACAGTTTATAAGAGACATAAAACACACTGAATATAAACAAACAAACACAAACTAAAAACTAAAACAAAGAATGTATTTCTTCTTTAGAATTGGGTAGAGAATTAAGCTTTTTTCTGTCAATTTTAATGGCAGGATGGAAATATTAGGAAACATTTATGGGTAAATGTGTAACAATTTTAAATGATTTAAGAGAAAAAAACAAAGAATAGTCTGTGTGGAATTGTTCTCTCACTGAACACATGAAAAATTAAGAAGTGGTATCAGGTATTTCTTAACCTGTCGGTCCTGTGGGCTGTGAGCCAAAATGTGGGTTTGAATTAAATATAATGTCAAGTTTTTTAATCTCACTATCCAGTAACAAGCCAGTTCATAGTTGTCCATGCTACGATGACTGTATTACTGAACTGAGGTAGAAAAACTTCAGCGAAGATGCGAATAGGTGGTTACATAATAATAACCCCTGTCAAATAAAAGTGTCTAACCTTCCACTGCTCCTCACTGTCGAACTGTTTCAGTTCCACCTTGTTAAATATTTTCTCAGCAATGATCTTGTAAGAGCGCTGTTTTAAAAATCTCTCAGTTTTTTCCTCTGCTGAGTGTCGGAATTGCTGAAGCAAATCTGGTTTGACAACTGGAAAACAGAAAAAAGAGAAAACTGAACATACAATTTAAAATTAACTACTGCAGTAAACACAGTCTCAGTCTCATAGCTTGTAATGTAAATCTCAAATAATTTATGCAACATGAGAGCAGGTCTGGTCCATCATGGGCTAAATTTGAATATCTTTCAGTGAGTGAAAATATATTATCTTTTTGTGAAACCACTGATCATTTTTGCTCATATTTACTCAAATATCCCAGCAGGTGCTATACATGTCTTTGTACAGTTTATTCATTATAATTGAATTTATTTACATGACTTCTAAATCTGAAATCTCTAAAACATTACTGGTCCTGAGTGTCCAGTGTAGAGTGAAAATAGAAGGGATAACCTGAGAGATCCATGTAAGTGCTGGGATTGTTTACCACTGCAAAGACAGGGTCCAGGTAATTCCTGGGCGGGAAGGGGGGGGGTAATAATGGAATTGTGCAGTTAGTATATAGGTCAAAAATACTGTCATTACAAATACAACACCCACCAACTGAAACATCACTAATTTGGTGCTTCTAATATGCTTTATCAGTTTTCTCATCATTATCATAATCTTTTGGAGAGTTGAGCCTCTCACTGAGCCTCTCATCTTCTTCTGCATTTCTTACCAGAATTCTTTTATATGCTCTGTGAGGTCCTCAACAGCTGTGTTTTCTCCCTTGTAGAAAACCATGACTTTGATTTCAGCAAATTTCTCAGGCAGGAGGTATGAGACCTGCAGACAGAGAAAAACTGAACTTTCTAAACATTTTTTGAAGGTTGTTAAGACAATGCAGTGATTCTGTGTCAAGTAACAGATAAATGACACTATAGTTCTTAAATCTGTTACCTCATCTTTGGACAGCTGTATTGATATGTCTGGCTTATCTCTCCTATAGAATCGTAGAGCATCAATTGGATTCTTCTCTTCCATGCCATAGTTGAAATTGATAGGCTGTAATGATGAGAACATGCTGTTAGAAACTTGCAGTTCACAAATATCAGTAAAAAGTCATTTCAGCAATGATTATGGATTGTAAAACTTCATTATTCCTACTCACACACACTATATAGACAAAAGTTTCCATATACTTAGACACCTCCACAGTACACCTACAGGAGCTTTTATGACTTCCCATTCTAAATCCATAAGCATTAATATGGAGTTGGTCCCACTTTTGCAGCTATGACAGCTTTCATTTTACTGGGAAGCTTTCCACAAAATTTTGGAGAGTGTCTGTAGGAATTTTTGCCCATTCATCCAAAAGAGCATTTGTGAGGTCAGACACTGATGTTGGACGAGAGGGCCTGGCTCACAGTCTCAGTTCTAGTTCATCCCAAAGGTGTTTGATGGGGTTGAGGTCAGGGCTCTGTGAAGGCCAGTCAAGTTCTTCCACACCAAACTCACCCAGTCAGGCCTTTATGGACCTTGCTTTGTGCACTGAGGCTCAGTCATGCTGGAACAGTAAAGGTTCTTCCCCAAACTGTTCCCACAAAGTTGAAAGCATAGAATTGTCCAAAATGTCTTGGTCTGCTGAAACACTGAGATTTCCCTTCACTGGAACTAAGGGTTCTAGACCAACCCCTGAAAAACAACCCCATAGCTCTACCCTCCTCCTCCAACTTTACAGCTGGCACAATGCAGTCAGGCAGGTAAGGTTCTCCTGGCATTCACCAAACCCAGACTCATCCATCAGACTGACAGATAGAGAAGCGTGATTCGTCACTCCACAGAATACGTTTCCACTGCTCCAGAGTCCAGGGTCGGCGTCCTTTGCACCACTCCATCCAACACTTGGCGTTGTGGTTGATGATGTAAGGCTTGCATCCTGCTGCTCGCTTATGGAAACCCATGCCATGAAGCTCCTGGCGCACAGTTTTTGAGCTGATGTTGATGCCAGAGGAGGTTAGAACTCTGCAGTTATTGAGTCAGGAGAGAGTTGGTGACCTTTATGCACTATGCTCCTCAGCACTCAGCGACCCGCTCTGTAACTTTACGTGGTCTAAGACCTCATTGCCGAGTTGCTGTGGTTCCTAAATGCTTCAACTTTTCAATACTACCACTCACAGTTGATTGTGGAATATTTATGAGGGAAGAAATTTCGCGAACTGACTTGTTACAATAGTGGCATCGTATTACAGCACCACGCTGAAATTCAGTGAGCTCTTTAGAACACTACATTCTTTCACAACTGTTTGTAAAGGCAGACTGCATGGCTAGGTGTTTGATTTTATATACCTGTGGCAATGAGACTGAATGAAACACCTGAATGCAATGATTAAGAGGTTTGTCCCAATACTTTTGTCCATATAGTGTGTATTTTATATTGTACTTTCTTCATAGCACCAAAATAAACAGAGCTGAGCTTCCTTTTCCTTGTCATATAGTAATTAATACAGCTTTTTTTTTTAAAAAAAAATAAGTGTATGGTAGCCTTGTGTGTAATTTGACTGGATCTCTTTTTTTGAGGTTGCAAATTTTGACAAATGCAAGACTGATCTAACTAATTAATCAGAGCTAGCTTGCTAACCTGAGTAAGTACAGTGTTCTTTTACTGGTTTTTGTTTCACTGTCTTGTTTCAGAATAATAAAAAAACATGTTAGTGCTTCATAAGCTGCTGCTTATGTTCTGAGTACATGCTAGCTAATTAATTTAGCTAATGTGAGCTAAGCTAATGGGCAGCAAAACTTTGTGCCTTAGATATGAAACAGAAAGATATAATGTACTAGCAGAACACACTGTGATCAGTCTCAGCTCTCAGATATTCTCCTTTAGTGGTAATATCACATTTTGATTTTATTTTGTTTGGGTGCGTTATTATCGATACAGCCAACTATGTCAAATTTAGATTTTACACAAAAAGAATTTAATAAACAACTTATTTACTACTACCTTTCCAATTTTTCATTTCACTGTATAATACATCATTAACTCCTAGTGATGAACGTGCTAACACCTTGTTCATTAATAATGAGTTTCCATGTGTTTTACTTTAATACTGTTGTAGATCTTGAGGAATTACTGTTGAATATATCAGTAATTTATGAGTAGTTATTCTGAGAAACCATAGTTACTAAGTAATTCTCTATGAGACTCAGTAGTTATTGTTCAGTTAATAGTGAACTACCCTAGTCATTAGCTCTCTATTACTTACTGAGTAATTACCCAGTACTCCCTGGTAGTTAATAGTAATTACTAAAGTGTTAATGCAGCACTTTTCATTCGCTTCTGATTAGCTCCTGAATAGTTACCTGTTAACTGGGTCAGTGAGACTATAGGAGCAGCAGTAGACTAAAATGGGTCATGAGAGACAAACATCAAACAGAAACAGTAGGGAGTTTTTCCCATCTACTTTTCCATGTATATGTATTCTAATTTATTCTGAATCTTTTATTTTTGTATGTAGCAAGCAGGTTTTGGAAGTAGGATGCTAGTGTTACTGCTATTGACATGTTTGTTGGCAAATGGAGAAGCTCATTGGGTTTGCTCTCAGTGACATCATAAATGTACATGATGCACTGTTATAAAGTCCTATAACTGGAGTTCAAAAATGCAAAAAAAATAAAAGGGCAAAGTTGATTTGGTTGTTTGGTGCTCAGAAAAGTAGTACATTTATTAATAGAAAAATCATTAATCATTTATAGGAACCCATTAATTTTGGAATCGTTCAAGAGCGCTAAAGTGTTTGACAAACCTGAAAAAAATTACTGAGTGGCAGTTCTCCTTTCTACACATTTTCTGCAGTTATCACCTCACATGAATAAAGAGCCATTAGAGACTTCAGAGCATCACTTGAATAGAGTTTAAAAACTGTTTTGCTGTGATACTCAGATAATTGTTTGGTCTGATTGTAGAAATAACTAAAGTTGCTAGACTATCACTTGCTTAAAAATACATATGTAAAAATTAGATTTATTCCTCAATCTCACATTACAAATAATACTACATCATCGGAGACTTTTGTCATTCACAGAATAGAGCCTGTTTCTGTCTCTCTGTCTCTGTGTGACACGCTGTTTTGCTGTTTGACTTTCAAACAAAGTAAAAATACATTTCTGAATACATTATATAATTAGTATGATTACCAGAGGAATATATCACAGTAAAGAAACTCAAAACTTGATAAATTGTTGCTGTTGTTAAGGATTTTAAACGTAGAAATGTTCTATACAGGTATCTGTTAATTTATGCAGTTTGAAAGCTGTGAATGCAATGTTTACTGTGTGTAGATGTTGACACCTACAGTATGAGGCTAATGTTGAGGGAGCTAAAGGGCAGTAAGTAATCTACTTGTTATTTAGACTCTTCATCAAGGAATCTGTGTTTTAGGGTTAAATAAACAGTAACAAACTCTGCAGAGCCTTTTAAGGGTTCTAAACTACCTTATACAGGAAACAGAAGTTTCTTATTGATCTAAAGAAAGTGTTGTCAGAAAGTGTTGTCTATCTTTAATACAGTAAGTGTGAGAAACTCAATATTATTCATTTTAACAAAATAAAATTACAAATTCTTACATAGTTCTGCTTTAAGTCAGTTGATGCTTAAAAGCGTGTGAATTATAGACCAGGGGCCATATTACAGAAACATCTTAACTCTGAAATCTTAATTGTTTAGTCATGACAACTTTAGTTAAAACTGAGTTTAGGACAGTAGCTATTACAGAAAAACAGCTCTTAAGTTCATAATCACATCCATTAACTCCAGATAAGAAAAAAGTATGACGGAAACATCTTAACTAGACTAAATCTCCTAAATACTGTCATAACTTTAGGATAAACCCCAGAAAAGTCTTAACTTCTGTTTTAACCATCTGTTTCTATTGTTTTCACTATAACTGGTATAATGACGTTACATTTATCTACACTGAAAACGGTGCTTTGGCTGATGAGTGTTTTAAAAATCTCAGATGCTGCAGACACGATTTCCATTGTCCCTTCTCATTACCTTTGTGTGTTAATGTTTATGATAAAATATTACAGTGGTGGTGGTGAATAATGAGGAGACAGAGCTGAATGTGTGTCTGTTTATTAGGAGGAATACTGAATACTGGGAACAGTAGCTGTAACCTTTTATAGCTTAAAATATTTTAACGTTATTTTGATGAGTTCATATTTTAGACAGACAGGACAGTTAATTGTTGACTATGCTTGAGTAGTTTAAGATTTTCTAACTTGAGATAAGGTGCCCTAAGATAAGATTCCTACATTAAGATAATATTTGCTTCTGTAATACGAATTAGTGAAAAAAATTGTCTTAACCTGTCAGATCTTAACTTAAGACAAAAAGATAGGAACACAGCCTCTGGTGTGTCCAGTTCCGGTCCTAGAGATCTTTTCACCCTGGAGAGTTCAGATCCAACATGCCTGGATCTTATATTCAGAAGCCCCTGGAGGCTATCATTACCTTAATCAGGTGTGCTAGATTTCATTTTCATTATCATTCAGATTATTTGTTTAGTGTTAGATTTTGACACTTCATTGTAGTTTTTGTTCAATTTTTTTGCTTTTTTGGTCAAAGTTGTTGGCATTTTTTCTTGTTCAGCCAAAGACTAAAAGTGCCACTTGATATCATTTTTGGCAGATTTTTTTTTTTGTTTAAAATAGTTAGTGGCAAGTAAACAAAATATCCAATTTGCTTTGCTGTTCATGTGGATATGTCTTTCTTGTAGCTTTGCTTTGACAATCAGCTGACCCTTAACATCATGTAAAAACAACTGTGTCCATGACTGATTGTTTTCCATATCAATGTAATGGCTCTTTCACTGTAGGTGATTCTTGGTCAAGCTGAAGCTTTTTCTTAGGCTCACATGGTACTGTTCTTGTACTATAATAGTTGAAATGCTTTCTGTCTGACACAGCAGACCCAAACTTAATCACAGAGTGTGATACAAATGGTTTTTAGTGTTCTTACCAAAACTTTAAAGTCGACTGCCTTGAGCTGCTGATCACCATTCACTTCCTTGACTTTTCTCAACCAGGCATTCAGCTTTTCTGTGAGTAATTCTTCCTGAGAGAAGATAGTAAGAAAACAGCATCACAGCATGTAGTTCATAATTTTGTGAGGGATATAAAAACACATTAACTGTATGAAAAGTGTGGACAAAATCAAATGTCATGTTGCAGTAAATTCTACCAAAACATAGATGGATCTTATTTTATTTCCAAAACTAGGAACTGAATGTCTCCTAGAAAGTTCTCAATGGGGATTTTCAACTACTATTCTTTCTGTGAACACAAAAATGTAAAAGAATGTCAAAACATGCCATGGTAATGATGTATTTTCCTCTGGCGAGAATACAGTCAGTGTATTTTATAAGTTTACTACAACCACTGAGTGATTCCCTTCCTGGATCGGGGCCTTGTCGTGGCGGAAGGGCTTGTGTGGTCTAGGGATCTTCAGAGCTAAGTCGTCGGGAGCAACGTGCTCCTGGTAGGGTCTCCCAGGGCGAACAGGTCTGGAGTGAAGACCCAGACTAACTCGATCCAAAAACCTCCATGAAAAACGGACACAGAACATCGTGTACCCTGCCCGGGAGAGGGTCACCGGGACCTACCCCTGGAGCCAGGCCTGGGGGTAGCGTCCCTCGGCGAGCGCCTGGTGGCCGGGCAGCCCACGCAACCCGGCCGGGCTCAGCCCGAAGAGGCAACGTGGGGGGACCATGTGGGCCCACCACCCGCAAGGTCCAGCATGGGGGAGTGGTGCAGTGCCATACAGGCAGTGGGAGATTGCAGGGGGGCCCTTGGTGACCTAGGCCCCTGCGGCAGAAACTGGCTCTTGGTACGTGGAATGTAACCTTACTGGAGGGGAAGGAGCCGGAGCTTGTGCGGGAGGTTGAGAGGTACCAACTAGATATAGTTGGGCTCACCTCCACCTACAGTATAGGCTCTGGAACCAAACTCCTGGATAGGGGTTGGTCCCTCTCCTACTCCGGGGTTGCACAAGGTGAGAGGCGCCGGGCGGGTGTGGGGATACTCACGAGTCCCCGGCTGGTGGCAGTACAGTTGGAGTTTGTCCCAGTGGACGAGAGGGTCGCCTCAATGCGTATTAAAATCGCAGAGAGGAAAACTCTGACTGTTGTGTGTACTTATGCACCAAACAACAGGTCGGAGTATTCTGCCTTCTTGGAGCAAGTGGGCGGGGTTCTGGAAAGGGTCCCGACTACAGACTCCATAGTCTTACTGGGAGACTTCAATGCTCATGTTGGCAATGACTGGGAGACCTGGAGAGGCGTGATTGGGAAGAACGGCCTGCCCGATCTAAACCCGAATGGTGAATTGTTATTGGACTTGTGTGCTAGGCATGGATGGTCCATAACGAACACCAAGTTCGAACACAAGGATGTTCATAAGTGTACATGGTACCAGAGCTCCTTGGGTCAAAGGTCAATGATCGACTTTGTTGTCGTTTCATCTGACTTGGGACCATATGTTCTAGACACTCGGGTGAAGAGAGGTGCTGAGCTGTCAACTGATCACCATCTGGTGGTGATTTGGATCAGATGGCAGGGAAGACTGAGGGTTAGACCCGGTAGGCCCAAGCGAATAGCGAGGGTGTGCTGGGAATGACTGTCGGAGGCCCCTGTTCGGAATGATTTAAACTCCCACCTCCGGGAGAGCTCTCTCATGTCCCGGCAGGAGGTAGGAGACATGGAGTCTGAATGGACCCTGTTCAAAACCTCCATTGTGGAAGCTGCCAGGCGCATGCTGTGGCCAAAAGCTTGTTGGTGCCTGTCATGGCGGTAACCCAAGAACCCCCTGGTGGACACCGGTGGTGAGGGAGGCCGTCAAGCTGAAGAAAGAGGCCTTTAGGGACTTTCGGTCGGCCTCGAGGAGGTTCTGGACAACTGTCCGGAGACTCAGGAGTGGTCGGGGAGGCTGCGCCCAGGCTGTATTCAGCAGGGGTGGAGAAACTCTGACTTCAAATGAGGATATTGTCGGTCGGTGGAAAGAGCACTTTGAGGAACTCCTTAATCCGGGGGACATGCCTCCCTCATGGGAGTCAGGGCCAGAGGCCTCTGGCGTGTCAAGCTCCATTTCCCTGGTGGAGGTCACTGAGGTAGTTGGCAAGCTCTTCAGTGGCAAGGCACCGGGGGTGGATGAGATTCGTCCGGAGATGCTTAAGGCTCTGGATATTGTGGGGCTGTCGTGGCTGACACGCCTCTGCAATAGTGCATGGACCTCGGGAACAGTACCCTTGGACTGGCAGACCGGGGTGGTGGTCCCTATTTTCAAGAAAGGGGACCGGAGGGTGTGTGCCAACTATCGGGGTATCACACTGCTCAGCCTCCCTGGGAAAGTCTATGCCAAGGTGCTGGAAAGGAGACTTCGACCAATAGTTGAACCTCAGATTGAGGAGGAACAATGCGGATTCCGTCCTGGCCGTGGAACAATGGACCAGCTTTTCACCCTCTCACGGATTGTTGAGGGGGCATGGGAGTTTGCCAACCCAGTCTACATGTGTTTTGTGGATTTGGAGAAGGCTTACGACCGTGTTCCCCGAGATATCTTGTGGGAGGTCCTCCGGGAGTATGGGGTGCCGGGGTTACTACTCCGGGCCATTCAATCTCTGTACGCCCGGAGTGAGAGCTGTGTTCGTATACTCGGCATTAAGTCGGACTCTTTCAGTGTTAGCGTTGGACTCCGCCAGGGTTGTGCTCTGTCTCCACTCCTGTTTGTGACATTCATGGACAGGGTGTCAAGGCGTAGCCGGGGTCAGAAGGGCATTATGTGTGGAGGCCGGAGGGTGGCGTCTCTGCTATTTGCAGATGATGTTATTCTTTTGGCTGGATCACATGGATGCCTCCAGCGCACACTGGAGCGGTTTGCAGCTGAGTGTGAAGCGGTTGGTATGCGGATCAGCACCTCCAAGTCTGAGTCCATGGTCTTAGCCCGGAAAAGGATGGTATGCCCACTCCAGGTAGGGGGAAAGGACTTGCCCCAGGTGGAGGAATTTAAGTATCTCGAGGTCTTGTTCATGAGTGATGGGAAGAAGGATCGTGAGATTGACCGCAGGCTGGGACAAGCGGCAGCAGTAATGCGGTCGCTGTACCGGACTGTAGTGGTGAAGAGGGTCGGGATGTTTACCGATCGGTCTACATCCCGACCCTCACCTATGGTCATGAGCTGTGGGTAATGACCGAAAGAATGAGATCGCGAATACAAGCGGCAGAAATGAGCTTTCTTCGCAGGGTGGCGGGCTACACTCTGTTTGATAGGGTGAGGAGCTCGGCCATCCGGGAGGAGCTCGGAGTAGAGCCGCTACTCCTCTGCATTGAGAGGAGCCAGCTGAGGTGGTTCGGGCATCTGATCCGGATGCCCCCGGGACGCCTCCCGGTGGGGGTGTACCAGGCACGGCCTACCGGAATAAGACCCCGGGGTCGTCCTAGGACCCGCTGGAGGGATTATATCTCCAAGTTGGCCTGGGAGCGGCTTGGGGTCCCCGGGAATGAGCTGGAGGAAGTTGCGGGGGACACGGTCACCTGGGATTCTCTGCTCTCCCAACTGCTACCGCGACCCTATCTGGACTAAGCGGTTAACGATGATGATGATGATGACTGAGTGATTTGACAGAAGATAGGCACTGTGTGCTTCAGCACTTGGCCCCACTCTGTAAGTGTGCATGGTGTACCGCTTCATGGCTGAGCTGTTGTTGTTCTTAGATGCTTCTATTTCACAATAATGGCACTTACGGTTATCTGGGGCAGATCTAGCAGGACAGAAATTTTACAAACTGACTTGTGGCAGAGGTGGCATCCTATAACACTGCTATGTTTAAAGTCATTGAGCAGTATGACCTATTCTACTGCCAGTGTTTGTCTATCAAGGCTGTAAGGCTATGTGCTTAATTTTATCCACATGTTAGCAATGGGTGTGGTTAAACACCTGAACTAATTAGGAGGGGTGTCCCAATACTTTTGTCCATAAAGTGTATTTCTTAACCTGTTGGTCCTGTGGACTGTTGGCCCAAATATTGGTTTGAATGTGTTAGTTAAAGAAAAACTCTATGAGAGATTTAAAGCTAGTAGGAGTTAGTGCTGTTTTATTCTTGTCTAGTCTCATTTTTGTATTGTCTTGGGCTTGGTAATATTTGTGCTCAGACTTGTCTCTGTCTTGCCAGATTATTTTTTTGGTCTTGATTGAGTCCAACTATCATTTAAAAATTAGTGTCTTTCTTCTACTGCCACTATTCTGTCCTAACTTAGCTCTGGTGCATTCATTTTCACATAAGTGAAAAACATTAACTATTTAATGTGAAAAACCATTCTAAAATAACCTTTAAACATACCCTTTGACAGCCTTGCATAACTATGATGTTTAGTCTACTGTTTTGCTACATGACTGTCGTAAAACGTACTGAATTATTTTCAGTTACTGCTTCAGTTCGGGAGGTAGGCTGAGATTTTCAGTAGTTTGAGAAGCAGTTTTCCAAGTCTGAGTGGATGCCACTGAACATGTATCAGTAAGGTTTTGAAAAGAGGTAAACCATTTCACAAGTTTTCTGACTAAACTTTAATTTCTGTATTTAAGATCGAAAAAAATATGAACCATTAGAGTAAATTCATTGACCTAATTCAGCCATTAAGACAGAGCCAGACAGACTATTAATTTTAAAGACATTGCACAGCATTAACTTAACCCATTGTTGACACATTGAAAAACATAGGACTCTCTCAACTTTGAAGTTGTGTAACTCAAAAAAGTTGCATCTGTTTGGGTTTCCTTTAGCCAGTTAGCATTTACATCAGTTGAATTAATTCACAGTGAAGATCATTTGGATGCATGTATTGATTGTCAAGAAACGTACCATACATGCCACATTTGTGTTTGTACTTGACTAGTCTTAGTCTTGGACTCAATAAAGTTAGTTTTGGTCATAGTCCTATTTATATGTTGCATAATAATAACCTGTGTGACTAACCTTCCACTCTTTTTCATTCTTCATCAAGTGTTTCAGTTTTGCAGGGTCAAATATTTTCCCACCAATGAACTTGTAAAGATCACGTTTTAAAATTCTTCTGATGATGTCCTGTGCTGTTCTGAGGTTTTCGTCTGGTGAGCGTAGGATTTGCTGAAGAATGTCATCTGTACAACAGAAGAAGAGAAACCTAAACATCAGTAAACACAGAACAGAGTTTGTAAGAAAGTACTTAAGTCTGTCTTTTTCATGCAATCTTAAAGTATATTCGTTATATGACTAAGATAAAAGAGAATACTACAATTGATGCAGGTGGCTATTTTTTCCAAAGTACGCTGTGCACAGTATATTTTATTTGAAGGAGAGGTAGCAACAGAACCTGTAAGATACATGTAAGTTTCAGGGTCGTCTACTGCTTCAAGGATGGTGAGTTTTTTGTCACCCAGTTTAAAGCTTTTGGCAGCTGCTTTGAGTGCATCCACAATCCTAAAAAATATGAATGCACAGGAGACAAGAAGTTTGTGATAAATGCATATGTGATGTATCGTTATTGTCCAAAAAAAAAACAAAACAAAACAAAAAAAAAAACAATTGTGTATACAGGAAACGGCAAAAGATTTTTTTACTTCTAATATAAAATTTTATACTCTTCTGGACTACTTCTGTCAGTTCATTCATCAAGAAATGTTACCCGACAATAAAGGGCAGTGGCTGTGCTCAAATTATATAGAAAAATAAAAATTAAAAAATTGAAACATGTGGGTCTTTTTTCCAAATAAATATTTTGAGTAGAATGTATTCCTTTGTTGTGTAAATTACATATGTGTGGTACAGTTATATAGGTTCATGAACTTACATGAGTTCAACTGCAGTTGCAACCCTGTGGTGACAAGCGTTTTTGCGTATGAGGTTACGAATCTGAAAGAGCTCGTACATGTTCATTGCTTCCTGATAGACATAAAAGGAAAACTCAGAAATGTTTTCAAATGTCAATACACAGTTTCCATGTGTTAAATATTACCTTGTCTCTTACGCAGATCTGCTTTTCACCATTCTCATCAGTGCAAACTCGTGCAAACATCATGTAACGTTCATGGCTGAAGTTGGATTTCATACCCAGATGGTGGCAATCCCTGAATAAAAGGCACAAAATTCAATATACACGTTACTACATAATTCATATACTAGAAGTGTGTCTTAAATCTTGGAACAATTAAAGCCAAATTTCTAATCTCTATTTTTGTGATCATAGTGCAATTGCAAAATTGAGTTGCAAAATCATGTTGCTGGCTGGTGTCAGATAGAACCAGACACTTGCAGCAGAGGCTTGAATTAAGATTTTTAATAACGAAGGGCTTGTCCAAAATCACAGTCGTAAATCCAAAGCAGAAAGGCGAAAACCAAAGCACCAAAACGAAACACGTACACGGGTAAGCAGTCAGGTACATGTGATGAACGCTTGGTACGCACAAAGGTTCACAATTGTCCTAGCCTAAAGCCTGGGCTTATATACTAAACTAAGTGACAAGGTAATATAGAACAGGTGTGAGTGAAAATCAGAAGTCCAGAGAAGAGGTGCCCTGATAGGTGGATCTGTGAGAGTCTGTTTTTTATTTTGAGAGTCCGTAGTCATGTGATGCAGCAAGGAGTTCTGGGAATTGTTGCAGAAGTACCAACCAGGCCAGAGGGAGGCGTGACACTGGCACATTTGGGTGTGGCACATACATTTTTCCTATTTTTGGATTGAATGATAACTTGTTGCAGAATGGCACAATGCTAAAAAAAGACCAAGGTGAAAACTATCTATATAACACCTAGCGATATCCTATATTTTAAACACCTAGCGATATCCAATCACATCAACTCCTCTTATTATTTAGTATATATATTAGATATAGTAATGAATTCCTAATCATGTAATGTGTAGTATTTTCAATAAATAATGCACTGGACGCCAAGTGTTGCAGAAATTTTATGCGTATATATATATATATATATATATATATATGCTGTAAATGTCAAAGGTGTTACACCACCTCCACCAGCCTGGACTGCTGACACAAGGCTGTTTGAATCCATGGAGTCATGCTGTTGGTGCCAAATTCTGACCCTACCATTTGTGTGCCTAAGCAGAAATCGAGATTCATCAGACCAGACTATGCTTTTCCAGGCTTCAGCTATCCAGTTTTGGTAAGAGTTACCGTAGCCTTTCTGTTAGCTCGAACCAGTCTGGCCATTCTCCGTTGACCTCTCTCATCAACAGGGCATTTCCGTCTGCAGAATTGATGCTTACTGGATGTTTTTTCTTTGTTGCACCATTCTGAGTAAATTCTAGAGATTGTTGTGTGTGAAAATCCAAAGAGATCACCAGTTATATACATACTCAATCCAGCCTGTCTGGCACCAGCAATCATGCCATGGTCGAAATCATTGAGATCACTGAGGTAAGCTCCTGACCGGGAAAACCACTTTTGAAATTTTGACAGAAGGGTTAAATCTGTGTCAGAATCCTGCTAAAATTGTGTAGTGTACTCACTTGAGATGATTCTTGAAGTTCTTTAGTAAAGGTACAACATCAGTCTTATAAAGAACCATTTCATGCTTTCATAAATATGTTTTTGGGCTCAGTTTCCCAAAAGCATCTTAGTGTTAAGACCATATCAACTTGTAGAGAGTGCTCAGTGTAATGCTTACACTATCATTAAAGAATAATCTTTGTGCTTGGATGCTTTTGGGAAACCCAGGTCAGAATGTGCTTGTTTTATAAGATGATGCAATGACGCATCAACTGTCTGATTTACAATTAGTAGCTACAACTAAGTCAGTTGTATTTACTTAGTAATTGGATGTAATTGCTTGTTTGTATTGAGGTGATATAAAGTGTACATTCACAAAACTGTACTGTAGGAAATTGGACACATCTTTGCATCTGTATTTAAATACAGTCAGGAAATACAGTTATTATATAGTGACAAAATATCAAAAATGCACTGGTGTCAAAAAATGTGCTTGTGGCTGCATGAAAATAGAACCCAAAGAAATACACAGAAATGAAACTCACCGACTGAAATAATCCATTTTGTCAACATCAATGCCAGTTGTGTGATTGGCCACGATCTGATACAAAAAGGACTTCTCCTTTGTTCTTCCTTTGTATGGCCACTGTACAAGACAAAGAAAAAACATGTATACTAAATGTATACAACAGCCCCAGTTCCAAAAAAGTTGTGACTGTGTGTAAAATGCTAATAAAAGCAGAAAGTATCGATTAGTAAATTCTGTTTGACCTGCACTCAATTGGTACCAATACACAATATTTATGAGTAACACTTTATTTGGAGTGGACTTTTGTAGATGATTAATAAATTCTCAGTAACACATCAACAACTTATCAGTGGAGTAGCAGTAGTGAAGCATCTGGATACATTGAATTAAATATCTTAGATATGCCATTGATACATTACTTACATTAAGTAGATGTATTGTTATATCTAATCTTACCAACCTTACCCAAAACCTAACCCTGACCCTGGCCCTAATCCTAACCCTAACCTTAACCTCAACCCAAAACTTAACCCTAACCCTGGCCCTAATCTTAATCCTAACCTTAACCTCAACTCAAAAATGTTACTGAGAGTCTTTTGAGTGTTTGTTTCATCGAAAAGGACCTCTCAAAATAAAGTGTCACCAATTTATGATCTTCATTGTTTTTGTAAATATGCATTCATTTCAAATTTGATGCCTGCAACACATTCCAAAAAGGTGGGACAGGAGTGTATTTACCACAGTGTTAAAGCACCGTTCCTTTTAACTGTACTAATAAATGTTTGGGGACTGAAGACACAAACTCATCCAGTATTGAAAGTGGAATTTTTAGCTGAAAAAGTCTTCAGTTGTGCAAAGCTTTATTGTATTTTGAGCTTCATAAAGTGTCACAGATTACATTAGGAAACAGTTTTGAACTGTAGGCAGGCCAGTCGAGCACCTGCACGCTCTGATTATGCAAGTGTGCTGTTGTAAGGCAGGTCAAATGTGGCTTGGCATTGTATGGTTAAAATAAATAGCATCTCTGACAAAGACTTCAACTAGAAGGCAAAATATTTTCCTGCAAAATATATTTAGTGTGGATGGTGCCTTCATAGATGTGCAAGAAACCTACTAATACCTTTATGTGGGTAACAATCTGGACAGTCCTTTTATTTTTTGGCCTGGAGAACACAACATCCATTCTTTTTAATATACAGTCTGAAAAGTTGACTCATCATACTACAATACACGTTTCCACTGTACATCAGTCCATTTCAGACGAGTCCAGAGAGGTCAGCAGTGTTTCTGGACATTGTTAATTACTTCTGCTATGCTTAATTCAGTCTTAACTTGCATTTGTGGACGCACTGATGGATTGATGGGTGGATGAGTGTCATTACTCATAAAGGACTAGGACTTTTGTGGATGTTCCTTTTTTATTTGAGCAAGATTGCATCACCTGTTTAGGATGTACTATCGAATTTCATTTTAAATTTTCATTTCATTCCTACTGTTCCAACTTTTAAATTTATCTGTTCACATACAGTGATTGAAATGTTTCTATCTTGCTACTGTGGAAGCAATGGTGTTTTTAATGGAAGCTGCTTGTGTGGTTTGGCAGACAAAGCAATACTTATTTGATGGAGATTCCTTTAAACAGATTGCTGGAAACATGCGCACATCAGAGAAAATAACCTATGTGGAGGTCCGCAATAACAGATTGTCTTGATTAGGCAAATTTTGTACAAAAAAATAAAGCTACCAAAAAAAGTCTTTATACAGTGTCATAGAAAAAGCACTATTGTTTCTCTGAAGAACTTTTCAATGGATGGTTCTCAGTTAATCTTTTTTTGTAAATGAGATGCGTGTGTGTGTGTGAAGAGAGTCTCTAAGTTTGAGGAACCTCTGCATAATGTGTAGGTTCTAAGAATAACCCTTAAATTGATGTAGAACCTTTATCTTAGGTTAGGTTCTTTAAAACTAAAAAAGGCCCCTTACACTCACAATTTTTTTTTTCAAATGATTGTGTAGGGAACAAAAAGTGATTGTTCTATGACATCACTGAAAGAACCCTTTGTAGCACTTTTTTTAAAACATACATTGCTGGAACAGTACAACATATTTAGTGCCATAAAGTTATTTCCTATTCCTGGCGACCATATGGATAGTGTTTCTCCAGAGTATCTTGTCTTCTGTATGTTCAGGGTTTTTTTTCTTTGTTATGTAAAGCGACCTTGGGATGTGAAAGGCTCTATATAAATGTAACTGTACCAACATCAGAGGCTGAGCCCAGGGCCTATTGTACATGGTTACAAAGCCTCTAGAATCCTCTAGATTCCTCCGCTATAGACTGCAAATCAGCTTGTCAACTAAAAAAACGGCAGTATCTTTATTTACAAAAAGAATGAACTACATGTATAACTACCAGCTTATTAAAAATAAATACAGATGTGTCTGCTTCTCCATATCATCAGAACTCTCATATGCATTTTATGTTATTTTGTCTGGTCTCGCTCTGTGCCTTTTTGCCAGCAATTACCTCTTTTTCTGTTTCCTGTCCTCTCTTAACTAAAAAGTTACTTTTTGTATAACACACCTTTTGTATAACACGTGCACCACCTGATCAGAATCAAATGACCATACATTATTGTATTCCTTGTTAGTTCTTAAAGTATACAGTGCAACATAAATGCAAAAAAAGTTCTTTCCTATATTCATTTATGTTTCTCCTGCTGTTCTCTTTCTTCCTGGCACTCAGTGGTGGCTTGAAAAAAGTGTTCTCAGTATGTTGTCAGTATTTTTTTTACAAAATTGACTCCTTGCTGACAATGTAAGGTAACACATGCTGTTGTAGAATAATACTTAGCTAATCCAGATAATGCCAAAATAAAATTAAGCTGAAGAGCTTCTTGTTCAACCATTCCACCTTAAATGGTGCAGTTACATGCAGGTACCTGTATTCTGCTGCAACATTTAACGTTGAATGTAGAATTCTCATAATAAGCTGGGAAATAAAAATCCATCTTCAATTCTGACAAAATAAATTAGCCAAGACAACTAGCTAGTATATGCATCTTAGGGCTTACAATTAATAAGCTTATATTACAGCTATATATTAACTTTAGCGTGTACTAACATTATGGGTAATAATAATGAACATTATATTATTAACATATTATTGTCTTGGACAATAGCTCTGAGAGCTGACCCTTTTGTTAAGTATGTTTTATATAATTCTAATTTTAATCTTAGAAACAGATCCAAGGCTAATGCAGAAATGTTCAGGGCTACAGCTCAAGGGCCCAGATGTAGACACAGCCCTGGGCTTACTGGAATAAACTTAAAATAAAAAGTAATAGAGGTGGGGTAGTCTAAATATACCCAAAATCTGATCCATAGAAATATGCCTGGATCAGCTCCATTGAATTGGACTGGGACATCCACAATAAAATCACCCAGATGTAGATGTTTGGGGTAAAACCCAGAGAATGTAATGGCTGTCAAAGACAATATTACCAAGACAAACAAATCCGGGATATGATATATTACTACAAGAGCAGTACAAGAGAAACAATCAGGAGCAGAAGCATTTTATTTTGCAGATATTACTAGTACAGAAAAAAAGTTTCCATGTACCTGAGAGGAGGTGGGAAGGCCACCGTTCTTGCTTGGTGGATGGTGGATAAGCTCCTTGATAAACTTGAAGTCTTCTTCTTTAAATCCATGCTCTTTCATGATGTCATCAATGCCATTTTCTTTAATCAGATGATCAAACATTTTGACTGATGCTGCTTCATGCTATCCCATGAGAAAACAACCAGAGCATACAAATAAAGTATTATTTCTCAGGATTAGAATTACTTTTGTCAAGTATGTTACAAATATGAGATATTTGTCTTGGTGATTGCACACAAGCCCAAAATAGCAAACCATTAAACTTTTAATGGTCTTAACAACAAATCATTAAAAAAATAGATGCAGTAAGTTAGTCAGAGAAAGTGTTTTCCTTTTATTTCTGTAAATGATAAGTCTTGCAGAAAAACTTGCAGACAGCCTTTTACAGATAAAAAGTCTATATTGTTCCTTTCAGCACTGATGGCTTCAAACAGTTGAAAAACATTTCCTAGCTGGTTTGTTCCAAAACCGTCAGCAAACATTCACTGATTCTTGAGATAAAGGACAAAATATGTTTTAGGTCTTCTTTTTTTCATAAATGCTAAAATAATTTGAAATGTATGTATTTATAGACAAAGATCTTAGCAAGCAAACCATGTACGGGAACATTTTTTGAAAACTGATATTTACTCAATTCATGACTTGATTTATGTCAGACACAACAAAAAGCATTTTAATTTGATGAATTCAACAAGACTGTAAGTCCTCAAGTATCTAAAAATTGTGTTCTGTAACAGAGTTAAGTAATAACATGTATTATATACATTTTTGCTCTAATTTCACAGTATTTTGGCAAATTCAATTTAATTTTGTATATTCATTTTTAATATTAAGTATATGTAATCAAGTTTTTAGGTGAAAAAGACATCAATGGCTTTAGTTCAGCTGGTGTTTTAATATATATAAATATATATATATATATATATATGTATATTAGGGGTGGGAATCTCTAGGCACCTCACGATACGATTCGATTATGATTCAGAGGGCTGCGATGCGATTATAAAACGATTATCGATGCATCTTTTTTTTCTATATAGCATTTATATTTTCTCACTGTGTGAGCTCAAGTTTCGAGTTCAAGTTTCAAGTTTATTTGTCATTTGAACAACATGTCAGGACATTTATGCATTAAAATGCTTGTGGTGAGGCTCAGGTAACCACTGTACAGAAAGTAAATAAGTAAAAATACAAGAAAAAACAACTGAAATATATTAAATATACACAAAATATACACAGAATATAGAGACAATATACATTTTAAAGTGACTAAGTAACTCAGTGTTATTGTTATTTAAAGTGACTTGGTACTTTTAAACCAAAGTATTTGTAATGATCCATAATAAATTTACTTCCAATATCTTTTTTAATAAAACAAATGTGGCAAGTGAACTAGAAGGCTCTCATTCAGTGCTCTTGTTTGGAGCAAGAGAAGCTGCTGCTACTCATCTGCGATAAAATGCGCAGTTACGGTGAAATAAGATCCAGTGTCAGTGGATGTCCACTCTTTCTCTGTCCTTCTCTTTCGAATTCTCCCATTCCACCTTAAATGGTGCCGCATTTACATTCGGCGCCTCAGTTAGAATTTAAGGTGGAATGGGTAAATTTGAACAAGAAGCTCGAGAATAAGAAGCGACTTCAGCCTCGTAAAACAGTCGAATGTTGAGAGACATTTAACTGATCTACTTCTGAGGAAAAGTTTTCTGGCGGAGATGGGAGGAAAGCAGCTATAGCTAAAGCTTAAAGCAGAGCGAAGTAAATCTGCGTTTTCGTTAATATTGTTTAGTCTATACTAGGACATTAACACATACTGAGACATACTGGACATTAGATGCTGTGGTTCCCAAGGTGGTTTGATTTTTGTTGAAAGGACAAAATGGCTCTTGTCATTTGTGTTGTGACTCCTGACCTGACCTGGCTTTAATGCAGAGGGAGCCGGTTGGGTTTCTCGCTCCTCCAGTAGTGGTTTTGTTATGTGCCGCCACAGACTGTCCGGGCGCTGCACTTCCGCACTTCCAAGTTCCGCCTTTTGCATTCCGTCAACATTATGTTAGAAAATAAATATTTAGAAAATTGATTTTTGACGTTTGTAAATCGATTCAGAATCGTTCACGTCCGCATCGCGATGCATCTAAGAATCGATTTTTTCCCTCACCCCTAATATATATATATATATATATATTTTAAATATATAGGCAAAACAAGTTGAACAAATAACGGTTCTTTGAAAAAGCACAAAAACTTTCATCCGATGGAGTTGACAATTACTGACGCTGTTGACAAATAACTAATGGAGAGGAAAACTGATTAAGTGTGAACAAATATTTTGCTAACAACAGATTGAGATCAGACAAGCATTTTTATTATTATTAATTTCTTAGTATTTAAAGTAAAGAAGACTTTTCAATGTAGGTCATGTTTTGTCCCTTATCTAAAAAATCAGTGCATTAGTATATTGGGCTTGGCCCTTTGTTTTCACACAGCAGTGTAAGACATGGGGCATACTGAACAGACCAGACAAGAGCACAGAATATTAGCAAGTACTTAAAGGACAAATAAAACTAGATTCTATAGAATAAAGAATAAAAAAATAAAAAAAAATAAGAGCCAATCTGAAAGGAGCTAAAGAGATGTGTGAATATCTGCACATATGCAGTTTTAAGGAGACAAAGAATAACTATTATATACAGTATGTTATAGGATGATATGAGCATTTATAAAGGTTCCACTTTATGTTGTGTCTCTAATATCTGTGTAATAACACATGAAGGACATATGCAACAACAATATAACTACTGATGATTTTGTCAGTGTTACAGATTGATTGCAGAACTAGAGCCTGTGCAATCACACATGTATCAACTTTAGTTTTGCCTCATATAATTACACAAGTGTATCTGTTTATACACTACAGATCAGAAGTCTTTTCCAGCAGTAAAAGAAAGTATGCTATACATAACATTACATTTATGTTTTGCATGATTACTGTGGAAAAACTGTGTAACAAGGTAACCCAGTCACATCACATTGATTAATACCATTCTATAATTACTCTGTACCTACATAACAACTACACAGGAACTTTCCTGTAATGTCTTAATTTAAGTTATTACACACTTCCTTTTAATGCTGGAAATGACTTCTGAAAAAAAAGCTGTTCCAGTCTGATTACAAATTTTATTACATTAATACTCTTACTATTGTGCAATTACATGAGAGAGAATAGTCTGTTACAACTATTAAGATACACTTATGTAATTACATGAGGTGTACTAACGTATTCCATCTGTAACAGTGACTAAATCATTAGTAAATACATTGGCGTTACATATGTTGTTCACATGCAAATACACAGATATTAGAGACACTCAATAGAAAGTGGGACCTTTGTAAAAATTAACATTTATACAGTTACAAATAATTATTACTGTAAGCAATAATTATACTGTTAGCAATAATCATAGATTAGGCGGTACGTAACATACATTACTTATTGATTGTAGATGGATGTTTGACCTTGACATGCCTCATTGTTATGAGTCATAGTGGTCATAATGTTTTGGCTCATCACTGTATATCTATAATCTGACTACAGTTCCTTTATTTTTGACATTTGTAAAATATAACAGAGTAATTTACTACCTTCCACTTGTTCTTTTCTTCTTCTTCTTCTTTTGTTTCTTTCTTTTCTTTTTCTTCTTTTTTTGCTTCTTTCTTTTTTTTTTCTTCTTCTTGTTTTTCTTTTTTTAGTTCCTGCACGACTTCATCAAATGCATGAGAGAATGGGCCATGACCTTATTTCAGAAACATATAACAGTCTTAATTAATTATTAGAATCAAATTCTTACTCAGAATTTCATAATATATAGAAATATATAAAATATCTATATGTTGTGTATATGTGGTATGTTACATAGAGTCAAACATAGAGACAACATCTGAATTTACAAATGCTGTATCATTTAATACCACTGAGTAGAGTGAGGGCCTATTATTTTCCACCAATCATAGTGGTCTATAGGCAGGATCCTGTAGGGGAGGGGGAGCGAGCTTTCACAACAGATTAATGCTGCATTTGAGTGGTGTCAAAAACTGGGAAACACTGGTTTTCGCACCTGTAAATTGAGCTTGAACGGCAACAAAGTCATATTTACAACTGGTAAACTCTGGATTTGAGATGATACACAAGTTTACAAGATGTGACGTATAACGCGACCTTTCACCTTTTACATGAGTGAAAAACGCTAAACATGCAGTGAAAGTGAAAAAATATATACTCTATGCATTTTTATTAGATCTGTGTGCTTTTTAGGTAACACAACAAAGAAAAAACAGAATTGCATTCACCGGACCTCCATGCTTTCTTTCTCCATGTGGTGGGTGTATCTATGAATGAGCATCCGAATGAAATTGAGAAATCATATTTACTAATTAACCATCTTGTATGTATAACCTTCCAATGAAATTCTGAATCCAGCATCAGAATGACTCCGACTCAGACTGAGAATGGGTCCAAAACTGAGAGCGGAGAGAGGGGGCAGAGCAAGAGATGCGCCTAAGAAAGGCTTAAGAAAGGCTTTGCAGCTCGAGTATTTTTTGTGTATTTTTTAAATTTGCAAAAAACTGGTGGATGGAAAACCTGCTATTGAGTACAAATTGCCTTTGGTTGATGGAGACCATAATTGCCCAGAAGGGACATAAACCAGGTCTGCAATGCTTTTTGTTGTTTTTTGTTTATTTGCCTGCTTTAAAGCGATGAATTATTACTGTAGTTTGAGTGACCAGTCAACTTGGTATGGTTCTATAAATACATTTACGCACTGTTTAAAAGTTTTGCTTACATTTTGGTTAACTTGTGCAAATATTGGTGCTGTTTAAAGCCAGTTATAATATTTCCACTGTGAGTACACTTAAAGCGTTGAACTCATGTTATAGACACAAATACACACACACACACACACACACACACACACACCCTTACACCCTTTTTGGCAGAAGGGGGCTACAGTAGTACAGTTTCAGTTATTTGCTTGTGCTACATGACACACTAGATGTTATACTCGAATGATAAATGTCTCACCCAGGTCATGGCACAGTCCTGCAATCTGCACACAGAGTTCATCAATGTCAGTTATACCCAAATCCTCCTGAGTTCTCAACCTCTGTACAAGCTTTCCTGCCAGGTGAGCCACACTGTTAAAAAAATTGAAATGTACAAAATTATGACCTCATGATAGTCACTGTGATTCACATACAATTCTCTTTTGTATCTATATCTATATGAATGACTCAGTCAGGTATCAGAACTTTACCCAATGGAGTGCTCAAAGCGATTGTGAGAAGCTCCTGGATAAACATAATAACCTCCTCCAAATTGCTTAATGTTCCTCAAACGCTGAAACTGTGGAGTATCGATTATTTTCACCAACAGACGAGGCATCTCAATGTGACCGTGAATAGGGTCGTTGAAGACCTGTGTCAGAATCATTTTTAAACTTCAGATATGCAGTACATTTTTCATGATGTATAATTACATCTACAGATGCATGCATATATAGCATAACAAAACTTGCTTTTTCGAAATGTCATTAATGCAAAATATCAAGATACAAAATATTAGATAAGTGCATATTTAGGAAATGCATTAAAGATTTGTGTGTTTTTAAAAAAAATTCACAGACATTCCAAATACATCCCTCTTGGCAATTTGTATATGTCAAAGTGAATTTCAACGTGACAGAAACAGTCAGACGCTTACGGACAAAATCAGTAAGTGAGGCTTTACTGGAATCCGAAATTCAAAAAACAGGCAATGGTCAGAAGCAGGATAAGAGGATTAACCAGGTGAACATAAAAGTCCATGAGATAATCTGTGTTATGAGGAAATACAGAGCTGGATGGATGCGTGACATGAATTGGTTACAATACAATATCAGAAACTAACCAAAAGCTGAAGATAAAGATAAATTATACTCACTAATGGTTTTTTACATTTATATCATCAAAATTGAGACTTGTGATGCCATAATATTTATTTACTGGGTGTAATATAAGGGAAAAGCATAACTGCATGCAACGTGTGGAAGAACATTTTGTAACATCGGTTGTGCTTTGGACCACTTCCCTGAGTGGATGAATCTGATCATTACGAGAGTATTAAAAGAGAATTCAAAGAGAACTCAGTAAAAACTTAGTGACGGATGTGTAATCCAAGGAGGTAAGTGAATTATCTATAATTGTCATCATATCTTCATCACTATAATGTAGGCTTGGGCAATAAGGTGATGTAATTGGATGTTGTCAATGACTGACAAGTAATCCAATGGCGATGTGTAAAAGGTGATAATTGCCATGTTGGGAGAAAACTGAAAACTGGAAAGCACTAACAGCTTGCTAAAATTGTTGGGAGTTGGAGTTCACGTTCCTTTAGGAAGGTATGTAGTTCTACTTGTTATTCATGGAACTGATATAAATGCTGACATGCTTTGGAACTTTGTCTTCGATAATCACAATTTTTGACTAGAAAATATCTTAATAATTATTTTTTGATATTGCCTGGGCCTGACATGCTAAAAGTCATGGGACAGGAATTAGTATCATGTAGGACCATTTGCAGCCCTTCATGGACTTCATGTTGTACATACCTTTCATACAGTTATCAAGTATGCATAAAGTATCTACTAGAAAATTAATAGTTCCATACATTCAGCTACTGAATTATAGTTACTTGCCATACTATAAAAGTGCTACCATGGTATTTTTAGGTCAACTGCATATCAAATTAAGTTGTTTAAAATTGACTTTTTGAAAAGATGCTATGTTAAGAGTTCTTAAATTACTTGATAGTTCACCATTGAATATAGTCAAATATTTCTAGAGTGTCTTTGCTTTAAAAAGACCACACACTAGGCTTGTAAACAGTCTACTTGCACATCTACTAAAATAAACGATATCACTGCCGCACCTACATTTTAAAAATATTTAAACAAGGGTTAAATGGTATGAAATAAGAGAATAAAGCAGCGAAATCTTGCTTTCTTGTTTTTTGATTCTTGCATATCATCTTAAATTAGCTTTAAAGTCTCTTGCATATAACATGATACCCATATGTTTCATATCGAAATTCTATGTTATCCTAATCACTACTTTCCAAAACTGCTGCAGCAACTTAGGCAGCTGTAAACTCTGCACGACATTTCACGTCTCTAGCGTGGACTGAATGAAGAATGAAGGGTTTCTGGCATAATGAGTCAGTCCTTAGTGACTTCCTGAGTGTCCATTGGTCAGTTTCACACAAAATGTAGATGGACACACAGATTACCCAATTACACACGGTGGGAGGCAGATGACGTATCCCAGCGTTCAAATTGATTGAGAAAAATGAACCATCATTTTTCTGTCAATATTATACACACAACCATCTTACCTTTGGCAATGGATTGTCCTCCATTCTTCTCTCTTCTTTTGTCTACCTGCTCCGATGTTCAGGCCACAGACTAAAGAAATCTGGTGTGGTGTGATGCTGGCTGGAAGTTTCGTTTTATAGTATTTCACCACTGTGGACTTACACAAAAACCGGTCCTTCCAGTGTAAATGAAGATAATAGTGTCACTCATCATCACATGTTAATCTATCCTCAAACAATGTTTTTGTGGCAAGCAATCTGCCTCTGTTTGGTTTTACTTTTGTACAATGCAGTGTCTGCACCTAATAACAAGATTAGCTGCCGGTATTGCATTGTACAGAAGTCAAAACCCTACTAAAGACCTGTCGAAAAAACTAACAATACTAAAATTATCTCCTGAAGACCCAAGACTCAACTCAATGGAACATCTCTGACTCCTGGTACTAACATTTTCAGACTAAAAAGAAGTGCATCAAGGTTTCCTTTATGAATTTTGGTTCCTCTCAAGGTTTCTTCCTCTGGCTCTTAGGGAGTTTTCCTTGTCACTCCCTAAGAGCCTTGTCACTTTGGCAATGTTCATTTGGGGCTTGGACTTTTATGAATTTTCTGAAAAAGCCTGTTTTAAAAACCACTGCATAAATAAATCTTGACTTGATTTAATTATTCAGCCTTCTCTTCTCAAAATCTTTATTTACACCGGACCAAAAAGATTGTATGAACTAATATTAGAGGATAGAATAAAAGGAGACTGACAAAGATACATTCAGTCAAAAAAAAAACAAAAAACACCACTGATTCCTAACTAAATAGATCCTTTTACCTTTTTCAGGGTAATCCATATGTAAATATGTTGTACTTATGACCAAAAACATTTTGTTTTCCTTCTATATAATTCCAAGACTATTTGATCAACATTAATAATATTTCATCAGCATTCCAGCACTTATAATTTGTGAATAATTCTGTAGAAAGAGTTCAACTGTGACAGCTAACCCCAGAGATGTAGGTGGGTTCGGAGCAGCATAAGGAGCAAGGGTAGATTAGGATGATTGTAAGAGCCCTGTAGAGACAGAGTTGCACAAAGATTGTACTTTTTTTGCATGTGATATTTGGGTTTCCTGAAAGATTATATAATAATTAAAGGTTTGTTTTAGATACAGTGCCAAAAGATGCAGTCCATCCTGCATTGTTTCATTTTTGATTCAAATGAAGATTTCAGGCTTTCAAAAATTTCAGAAAAACAGGAAAAGAAGAACAGCAAAAATGGTCACAAACAGTGTCACCGTGAGGTAAAAGCCATAAACAGGATTAAGTTGTCTAACAAGTTTTACAGCCTGAAAGGAAGTTACCCTGGGACCAAGAATGGACACCGCGGGAGGTTGTCAACCTTCTGCCCCAAAAGGTACACCAGGCGGCAATAAATCCATGCCTGGAATCCAGCTGCAGAGTTTTACCAAGACTCTTAACTAAGCTTTTAAAAAACAGGAAATCAAATTTCTTTAAAGTGTTCATCGACTCTGAATTCCCACCATTCAACAGGTTTCATTCAAGAAGTCTGGAGACCCCAAAAATGAGGTTATGAGAATCTATAACAAAGCCCACAACACACCACCACCGTAAGGACATTTGCTTATAAAGAAAAGAACCCAAGAAAACTTGTTATCAACGTTTAGATAATCCGTAAGCAATACTACTTGTCTTATTAATCTTATTGTTATGTGTATTACCTAAAACCAGCAATGTTTTCTCCTATTAAGTACTAGGAATACATACTTTGATAACAGACCAATGAAACCATTTTATTCTAGTTGTTGATTTTATTTCTTCATACATTGGGTAACGGCCCTGGTTGAGTGTATTTATACTAGCAATATCCAGATATTACAGGCAAATGTTACCTGTGTCTTTTAATGTGTGTTGTGTACCAGGTAACAAGGGTTAAACTCTCTCTTATGAAACATACCTGAATGTCCTACATCCCTTGGTTTTGAAAGTTAGTTAGTTTCTTTTCCTTTGTTTTAAAACTAACTAAAACAAAGAAGGCAGTGATTCTGGGGGAAGTCGCTGCTAAATTATCCACCACCTATGAGAGTTGGAAACAATGAGTAGCTAATTAACCGTTAGGTGAGGAGAACCTATCAGCACTCTGGCTCCGCCTCCAAAGGGTATGGCCTCCATCCGAACAAAATTTTATAGATTTCTGTGTTCTCAATTCTAATTTCTTTGTGCTGGCCTTGGTCAGAAAGACAGGTCAGAAGTATTAGAACGCTAAAATTCCAGATCTGAAACCTTTGTTTGTTTTGTAACTTGTCTGTTCATTTGCACACCTTAAGTTTAAACAACCCTTAGAGAAGGAAGATAAATAATTTCTTGTCTGGACAGGGAGAATTTATTTGCATTTTTGACTCTGCCAAAGGGGGGTAGTTAGTTAAATGAGTATCACCAGCCTCAGAACCCTAATTGCAATCTAAACCTTGCCAGCGGAATTAGAGCAGTTCTGACACCACGGAGAGCAGATTGACCATCGAAAGGCTGCCCAAGCTCCACCCTCAAGCAGCCATGAGATGCCTCTGCCCAAACACTGACTGAAACGGTGCGTGTCTGCATGCTGACGCAGCCTCCGACCAGCAAGGAGATGAAGCTACGCCTGAGATCCAACCTTCAGAACACGCTATCAGAGTTGTATTATTGCACAATGTCGTTGTACTAAACTTCAGTATTTCAAAATTTGCTGTGGACAAAGTAATGAAATAATGGAACAGCTGAAAGTTGATACTGCAGCAACGAAGAAAACATCTCTCAATGATGGCAGTGTAAATTTAAAAGCTTGTCAGAGCTTTGTTTCCAATCCCAGTTCATATTATCGCTGTTGATCTATAAGTTATTAAATGATGTAATGGAAGTGTCTGCTTGTGTCCCAGTACTTTTGACAGGGTAATGTAACCTAAAGTAGCTCAACTACATTACAAACAACATTTATTCACCATTAGTGAACACACCCCTGTCATCTTGTATCTTGTAGAACTGCTTGTGTCTTTACAAACTGGTAACAAAGCTGTCATATGTTTTCTTTAATGACTTTTTCTAAAGATAATATTTACCCATGAATGTTTTCATGCTGGTATGAATCCAGTTTCAGCTTTGTTTGATAATGTGGTTTGACTGGTTGCTGTTGGGTCACATGTAAGGAGCACAAGCGCTATAAGCTAACAAAGTGTTTTAAAAAGACATCAGAATTTCTGAAGCTAAATTATTGTGTTTTGATATGAACCATCCAACTCCTGCATCATCATTAGAACTTATTTGAAAGTGATAGTTAATCACGTTTTTTTTTTTTTATAGATATTAATATTATTGCAGTAGACTTATGTGTATTTGAGGATACACGCAAAAGTTTCAACCTCAGATGTTGAATCAAACCACTTTCATTAGTGCTGATGTCTTCAGTAAACATCGGTTCAGTCGTTTCCAATTTCAGACTCTCAGCTATTTTGTGGTTTCTGGCAAAATTCTCAGCTCTGTAACGTAGCCGTCTTCCTCCATAAAATGAGTTGAGCAGCTGAGTACATCCCACTGCATGTAACGCTATGGTATTATGGTAACACATCACTATAGCATTCACAACACTTTTGGCAGTAATATGTCATTATGTTATCTTAGCAGTTCTCATCCTGGAGATGCAGCTGGCAGAGCTTATTATATTATTTTATGCATTTTATTGAAATTAATTTTAAAATAGTCTTTGAAGATTATAAGCTCCAATTCTTAACTTTAAACATCTCTTCCAGTTCACAGATCTTGCTGTATTTGTAGCGTCCCTCCTCAAATTGAGCCCTGCTAAATCCTCAGCTGCCATTGTCATTGGAAACACTTCAAAAGATTTCTGGTATTTACAGAACCATGTCAAGGTTCTCCACTGTTCCCTTTTCCTGTGCTTATTGTCATTGTAGCTAGCCATTCAAATTAGCTTCCAGGGGTTTTAATACATATTAAAGCACCACAAATAGCTTCTTAATATAGTGTCAAAGCATAGTATTTCAAAATAAAAGTACTGACGGGAAAAATGTCTAATTATTATTTTAAATCTAGAAAATGTTGGTAATTTAAAGGAGGTTAAAACTTTTTACTTAGTATGCTTCTCATACTTGGCAAAAGAAAAAAACATTCTTCAGGTTTTTTGATTAATCAAATGTTTGCCCATGCAGGCAACTCCCAGGCAGGTATGAATCAACTCACCTTTGTTTGGTGATGATGTTCAACAAGTTCCTGGGTGGATCACATGTTCGGGACACATGCAGTGCTAAATTAATTAAGTGACATTTTACTGCAAAAAGTGTTGTGAATGCTATAGTGATGTGTGTTACCATCATACCTGATATTCTAAACACTGCTGGTAATCTCTGTGGAGAGTTTTGTTGGGGTCAGTAAAACCCTGATTAAGGAACTAACAGGTAAAGAGGCACCAATAAATTATCTAGCGTTACATGTAGTGGGCAGTACTCAGCAGCTCAACTCTTCTTGATGATGGAAGACGGCTACAATCAAGAGCTGAGAATTTTGCCAGAAACCACAAAATAGCTAAGAGGCTGGAAATGACTGACCCAACATTAACTGAACACACCAGCACTAATGAAAGTGGTTTGATTCGAAAATCTGAGGCTGAAACATTTTGCATGTATTATAAAATACACATAAGACAAGTGTAATAAAATGAACATATCTGAAAAAAAGGTGAGTAAATATCACTTTCAATAAGTTCTAACAGTGTTGCAGGAGTTGGATGGTTTAGCACATGAATGGTACAGTAATTTGGCTTCATAATTTCTGATGTCTTTTTGAAACACTTTGTTAGCTTACACTGCTTGTGCTCCTTACATGTGATCCATCAGAAACCAGTCAAACCACAATACCAATCAAAGCTGATACTGGATTCAAACCAGCATGAAAACATTCATGGGTAAATATTATCTTAAGAAAAAGTCATTAAAGAAAACATATGACAGCTTTATTACCAGTTTGTAAAGACACAAGCAGTTCTACAAGATACACAATGACAGGGGTGTGTGCACTAATGGTGAATAAATGTTGTTTGTAATGTAGTTGAGCTACTTTAGGTTATACTACCCTG